TGTCTGGGTATACTGAAATGAGAACTAGGAGGAAATGAAAGAGGGATGCAAGCAGGCAGAATGTGCTTAAGAACTTTTTGAGTTGAGAATTCTCAGTCTGAATTTTACAGGGAAAGAAAAATAACTAGTCAAAATAATTTGAGAATAGGGATTGCTAAGGCCCAAACAGTGAGATAGGAAGAGGATTTTTGGCAACAGTCTTTTGAATACACTGGCAGGAAGAACACACAAAATCAGGAATAATCAAAATAGAGCAGAGAGATTTTGCTCTTGAAATGGATTGGAAAAAGGAAGTTGGTGACATTACAAAAAATAAAATAAAGAAAAATATATATGAAAGGATTTACAAAAAGCCCAGGAATAGGAAGCAAACAAATAGAATTGAATATAATACATACTTACTAAGACTGGAGGAACTATGAGATATCTTTATGATTGTTCCCTTCTATTAAGACAAAAGAAACAACTATAATATTCTTAGTAGCATATCAGTACTACTACTACTACTACTACTAATATAATGGTCCAGCAACAGCTGCATACTTACCATGTGTCAAGCATTTTACTGGATGCTTTGCCTACGTTAACTAATTTAATCTTATTGTATTATCATTCGCATTTTACAGATGAGAAAACAAAATCTTGGAAGTAAAATTATTGGCTCAAATTATAGAACTAATAAGTAGCAGAGCAAGCTAGGATTAGAAAGTTATAGTGTCAGGCCAGGCGTGGTGGCTCACACCTGTAATCCCAGCACTTTGGGAGGCCAAGGTGGGCAGATCACAAGGTCAGGAGTTCGAGAGCAGTCTGGCCAACACCATGACACCCCGTCTATACTAAAAAAATACAAAAATTAGCTGGGCATGGTGGTGTGCATCTGTAATCCCAGTTACTCAGGAGGCTGAGGCAGGAGAATTGCTTGAACCTGGGAGGTAAATGTTGCAGTGAGCCGAGATTGTGCCATTGCACTCCAGACTGGGGAACAGAGCAAGACTCCATCTCAAAAAAAAAAAAGGGGGGTGGGGAAGAAAAGAAAAGAAAGTTATAGGATCTAACCGAAAAGGCTGAGCTCTACAATCTACTTTTGTCAGTAGCAGTAGTGGCTAAAGTATACAATGTTATTGAATGTCTCTCTCTATAACTATATAAAACATATATATATACATATATACTATATACAAATATAGAGTTAAATATCCATAGTTATTTTTTAAAGTTGTTTGATACACGATATTTGTACACACTTATGGGGTACATGTGATATATTGCTATATGCATAGAATGTATAATGACTAAATTTGGGTGTTTAGGATATACATCACCTTGAACATTTATCATTTCTTTATTTGGGAACATTTCAAATCTTCTCTTCTAGCTATTCTGAAATACACAATATATCATTCCTACCTACAGTCAATCTACTCTGTTATCAAACATTAGAACATATTCTTCCTTTAATTTTTTTTATGACAGGGTGTTGCACTGTCACTCAAGCTAGAGTGCAGTGGTGCGATCATAGCACACTGTAGTCTCTTGGACTCAAGGGATGCTCTTGCCTCAGCCTCTGCAAGTAGCATGAAACTCCTGGCCTCAAGTGATCCACCCACCTCAGCCTCACAACTAGCTGAAATTATAGGTGTGAGCCGTTGCATCAGGCCAGAACTTATTCTTTCCACCTAACATATGTTCGTACACATTAACCAACCACTCTTCAGCCCCTTACCCTTCACCCTTCCCAGCCTGTGGTAACCACCAATCTATTTTCTATGTCCATGAGATCAACCTCCTTAGCTCCTACATATGAGTAAGAACATGCAATATTTGTCTACCTGTGCCTGGCTTATTTCACTTAATTACCTCCAGTTCCATCCATGTTACTTCAAGGGACAGGATTTATTTCTTTTTTACAGATAAATAGTATTCAGTTGTGTATATATACCACATTTTCTTTATTCATTAATCCATTGATAGACACCTAGGCTGATTTCATATCTTAGCTATTGTGAACAGTGTTACAATTGTGAACAGTTACTATTGTGAACAGTGTTATAATAAACATGGGAATACAGGTATCCCTTTGATATACTGATTTCCTTTTCTTTGGATAAATACCTAATAGTGAAACTGCTACATCACATATAAATACCTGTTGAGTGATATATGTGTGTGATATATATTAATATATAGTAAATATATTACATATAAGTATATATGCAATATATTACTATATTGCTATAGTAATATTACTATAATATAGCAATACTACTATAACATAGTAATATTATAATATTGGAATATTACTATAGCAGTATTACTACTATTAATAATACTATAGTAGTATTACTATATTATAGTAATTATAGTAATACTATTATATGTATAGTAAATATACTACTATAATACTACTATATAGTAATACTATTATATATATAGTAATTATAGTAATACTACAATATAGTAATATTATAGCATAATATAGTAATACTACTATAATATAGTAATATTGCTATAGTAATATTATAGTAATATAATATAGTAATATAACTGTGGTAACATTATAGTAATATTATTATAGTATATTACTATTTTAAGTATATATGTAATATATATATGTATATGCATGTATATGTATTATGTAATAAAGTATATATGTAATATATATGTATATATGTATAAGTATATATGTAATATATATTACATTATACTATACTGTAATATATATAGTAATATATATTATAGTAATATTACTACAGTAGTATTACTATAGTAATATTATATATAGTTAATATATTACTATGTAATATTACTATATAATATTACTATATAGTATTACTATAGTAGTAATATAGTAACACTATATAGTAATATAGTGTTACTATATTACTATATTCATATATAATATTACTATATAGTAATATTACTATAGTAATACTACTATATTACTATATAACTACTATATACTATATATATAAAATATATATACTATATATATTACTATAATATATATTATAGTATACTATATATACTATACTATAGTATTACTGTAGTAATATTACTATATAAGTATGTAATATATTACATATAAGTATATGTAATATATTTATAAATACACAGACACTACCACAACACATATATCACTCAACAGGTATTTAGACTTAATAATCAAAGCTGATACAAGCTTCATTCCAGATTTTATTTCAGTTGTTCCCGATTATTTTGACTAAAAATTATATTTATAAGATATATATTCATGTAAACTATCCCCAATATAAGAATTAAAAATTATGAATACAAAATTCACAGAACATTATGCTTGAACACATTATTGATATACTTCTTTCCAAAATGCCGTAAAATTTGATTATACATATTGAACAAAGAAAATTTAGAAAAAAATTCTGGTAGAAGGCAATCAAAAAGTATTAATAGCAACAAAATAAGCTAATTTAAGGACTGGCCTTTTTTGTGCTATGTATATATTTTCAAATTATAATACAAATGCTTAAAATGTTTCTATTACTCCACATTAGCTACATGTTAGTAAATATGCTTCTAGTCAGAAAGCTGTATTTTTAAATCAAAGGAGAAATTCTTTAGAAGAGCTATTACCAGAAAGTTGCCATTACAGTTATAATTTGTGTAATTTCCCATCATATCATACCATTTTTGAAAACAGTGAAAGAAAATAAATAATACAATACAATCATACTTTATCTTCCTGTGTTATTTTGCTCCTTGGACGACAAAATGATACAAACTCGATAAAATCAAAGGGATATGGTGAGGATTTGATTGACAATACCAGACCGGCTGAGATGACCACTGTGCAATGTTATTCAAAGAATATTTTGGGTTTTATAGACTCACTATTTTTAACTTAAAAGGAAAGTTAACAGGTTTATATGGCTCGTATTAAACTCGAGAAACATAGTCCTTACCAAAAGTCCTCAGAGTTACAGAATGAAATCACTTCAGTGCAATTTCAAGTATAAGATTTATGGTGTACTTCACTTATCTAAAAGGGAAAATGCACTTCTTCACACACATAATCTCATCTTTAGCAAATGTTTCCTTGATCTTCCTTTCTTTCACTTTTCAAACTCTTGGAAATGTATGTAATACTTACTAACGGACAAAGCTAATTACCCTGAATTAAAATCTCACAGACATTTTTGTTTCCCACATCCTGTTCCTCACAGGAGCCACAGCTTGCCCATTCTATCCCTTCAATGATGTTGTACTGCTTACCACATCAAGACTAGACCCCTTAGCCTGACACTGAGTCTCAGAGATACACGCCTTACTGCTTCAGCCTTAAGAGTCAACCATTCCCTTCACCTGCCCTAAAACATTCTGCCACCTTGCCTTGCTCATGTTATTTTCTCTCTGGAAACAACATATACAACATCTCTTCATGTACGTTTCTCAACCTCTTTTCCATGTTTGTAAAATCCTAACCTCCTATTTCACCTTTGATCTCTTCCATGAAGCCTTCCCTTATCTACCCATTCAAAAGTACTTTCCTCCTCACCTCAACTATAGGATATTATATTTTCCTGCATCATTTCTCACATGCATTCTTATTTTATAACGCATTTGTGTGTATGTATATATACACACATTTTTTCTCATCTACTATATTTTAACCACACTCAAGCAAAAGCTCTCACAATCACTGTCATATAACCAAGAGCCCTATAGTATGGATCCTTTGCAAACAATATCCACTTAAATGTTTATCAGATGAAAGTACAAACATATTATCTAATCAGAGAAATGAAAGCTTTAATAATGTAGCAGTGGTAAAAAAAATGATGTAAGACAAAATATGTTATTAAAATGTAGTATGCTGTCAAATATAAGCTAATGGAAACTATTTTCCTGCTTTTATTATATTAGTAAATAAATAAAAAATACTTTTATGAATAATATTTACAGATCCTTTCATCTTTCCATTTAAATCCCATAGGCAAGAAATAAAGCAGTTATAAATCAATTACCTTTGCTTGCACTTTCTACATGTTCCAGTTCTTCAGGAAATTTTAGGATATCTCGATATTTTTCCTCACAAATATCGGCAATAAAATGCAAAAGGGTTGTTTTCTGATCTGCTGATTTAGTATCTCTGATCTGGAAGAAAACAATAACACATTTTTTAGTAATTTCTTAGTAAATATATACTTTTTTTTTTTTGGGACGGAGTTTCGCTCTTGTTACCCAGGCTGGAGTGCAATGTCTCTATCTCGGCTCACCGCAACCTCCGCCTTCTGGGTTCAGGCAATTCTCCTGCCTCAGCCTCCTGAGTAGCTGGGATTACAGGCACGCGCCACCATGCCCAGCTAATTTTTTGTATTTTTAGTAGAGACGGGGTTTCACCATGTTGACCAGGATGGTCTCGATCTCTTGACCTCGTGATCCACCCGCCTCGGCCTCTCAAAGTGCTGGGATTACAGGCTTGAGCCACCGCGCCCGGCCAGTAAATATATACTTTTTTTAAACAAGTGAAATGAATGAATTTATTATAACCCATTTAAAATTTTTTAAAACGTTGGGGTAGGTTCTTAATGTGATCTAGCAGCAGTGCTCTAGATTTTAAAATGAGCTCCATATTTTAAAAGCAAGTAGGATGACCAATAAAAGTGCCAAATTAAGCCTTAATCTGTATTTTCCAAAATGTCTAAATGATTGTGGCAAAATGAACTATTCTTTTCATGAGAGAAGAACATTCATTTAAGTATTGATAATTGCCCAAGTTACTGTGATTATTCTATCATCATTCTGTTCTTTGCTTTGTTACAAAAATATGTTCTTGAAAGATTCATTTGTGAGATTATATTTATTTCTAGCCATTGTTGATGTAAATTAATATAAAGGAACAAGCACATTTTATCCTCCTTTACTTGCATGGACCATCAGAAAAGAATTCTCAAGGTTGTGCATATCCTGAGTTATTAAAAAAAATCTAACCATGTAATCCTAATATGAAAAATTTTATTTGCTTACATATTGCATTTCCTTTTCAGACACACAACAAAAGAGATGCCACAGTTAAAATGGTAAAAATCTTTAAA